ATACATGTGCACACATGCCTGGCATGTTTTTCAAGTTGCCGGGTCCAGGATTCCAACAGCACAGTCAGCCTTGTGGGAACGTTTGCTTTAACCTCCACACCTCCTGCTAGCCTGATCCCAATCATTTTGCTTGGTTGTTGTTGCTTTTTTAATTTTCTTTTTTTGAGAGGTTTTTGCTGTAGGGCATGTGTGCTCGCCAGAAATACAGAGAGAAACAGAGAGACAGAAAGCAAGAAATCACTCCCCAGGGTGGATGGCTACGCCACAATCCCTTCTCCTCCATTCTCTTCTTGGGATCTTGGGCATGCACGTACACGTGCCCAGCATGAATTTAAGCCACTGGGTCCGGGACTCAAACTGCAGTTGACCTACATGGGAGTCCAGCGACATAACTGGTCCAGGTTGTTTCTTTGTATGATTTCTTATTTACATTTAATCAGTGTGCATCTTTATAGCATACAATACGGTTTTACAAAGCATTCATGTAGTGCATATCGGTCAAGTCAAAGATATTACCATATACGTCATCTCAGTGGATAACTTTCTCTTCTTGTGTCTGTGAAATGTTTTTTTCCCCCTCAGTCCCTCCTACTAATCACTACTTTTCTAGGCAGTCTCTGGTACCTATTACGTTGTTGGGAAAGCCATGGCTTATTTTTCAATGCTTTTCTATGTACAAATGCATCACGACTTTCCTGATGACCCAATACAATCGTCCTCCCTACTGCTCTATCTTCAAACCTCCTATTTTCTCTTTGAAAATTACATTTAATCACTATACATTTTTACAGCATGTAAAATGTTTTTTTCTCAGCAAGAATTGGCTTCTGATTCCCTGACAAGACATGCAGAGATGTATATCCCTACTTATTTAAATCTCTTCTATTTTGATGTGATTTGAGTCCCTCAAATGAAAGAATCTACTTTCTAGCTGCTTCAGGTAACTGGGAGTTAATGGGAAGAATTTTAAGAGGAAGAGAAGAGCGCTCGAGTTAGTCTTTGGTGCAGAGTATTTTCTGCAGTGACACCTTTTATCTCTATAATAGTCCTATTTGATGTATACCATTGTTCCATGTTCAAGAAGAGAAATTAGCTCAGAAAAGTCACAAGCTAAGTCAGTGGCACATTCACACTCAAGTCTATTGTTCTAATTCCAAACCTTATTTCATTTTATCATAGCGTGATGAGGATAGACCCATTTTACATTTTCAGAATATGGGTATTATTGGAACCTATTATATTGAGTTGTCAGAAACATCATGACATCATTTTCTACATTTTTCTATGCAAAAATGTCTCATGATGTTTCTGACAACCCACTATTTTTTTTTTTTTTTGGAGAGGTTTTTCGCTATAGGGCGCATGTGCTCGCCAGACAGACAGAGAGAGACAGAGAGACAGAAAGCGAGAAATCATCCCCCAGGGGAATGGCCACGCTGCAATCCCTTATTCTCCGTTCTCCTCTCAGGATCTTGGGCATGCACGCACATGCACCCGGCGTGAATTTTAAGCCACCAGGTCCGGGACGTGAACTGCGGTCGACTACGTGGGAGTCCAGTGACATAGCCATTACACTAACTGCTGGTCCCAACACCCATATTTTTTAATCCATCGATATTTGAAAGAGCAATAAACATTTTGGTTTTGTGTTCAAGGCTCACTGTTGGTCTGGGAGAATGTAAAGACCAACTGTCCTGATTCTCTTTTAAGACCATTTTTTAGGTGTTATGTTTTCACTAATAACCATCTAATCCTCTAGTAGAATATATTGGGCTGAAAAGTTCAGACTTTCAATGTATGAAGAAAGAAGCCAGCAACATTTATTGTAGAATGTTTAGCTTGGACAGAATATTAGTCTCATAAATACTAATTTGTGAGCAGTCACTGGAGTTCACAGGGTAAGTGGATTGACCTTCAGCAAATACAACAGCTGAGAAGCCAGTAGGGCTGTCTTGTCAGGAAGTCCCTGCCGTAATGGATTTGACACAGCGAGAGAAGTAGATGCACTGTCCTCACTGCCCGATGAGATTGTCCTGGTGGCAGTTACATGTATTCTTTGGCAAACGACCATTTCCGCAGCCCCAAACCCACAAGAACTCAGCAGTGGAAGCCATTCTTTGGCAGCCTCCCCAGGGTTAGTGATGCGGAGGAGCTCTATGAAGGTGAGAAAAAGACAGCGAGTGGGGTTAGCAGGTCAGACTGCAATGATTAGTTATAAAAACAAAAACAACCAAAAGCAAAACCAAACCAAACAAGCAAACAAACAACCCAGATAAGATTGAACTCAAGGGCAGTAAATTACTTGAAGTATGTAGGATTGTTCATATCTATATTTTCTAGGGAGAGAATCTTGACCTATCTTTAAATTGGTCAAGGACTCAATAAAGAGTCCCTGATCTCTTTGTTACATGAACATGTGCAGATCAGCACTGTCCGTGTTGGTGCTCTGCACAGACAGAATCAGTAATAACAGATAAAGTGTGAGCTGACCAGCGAAGAGCGTCCACCAGGGGATTAGCCATGACTTCCAAGTGACGCACGGTGAACATTTCGGGGCTGTGTCTCTGTCAAGCTGCAGTTCAGTCAGTTTGAATTTGACATGGATGACCTGAAGACTGATGACAATGTAAAAAAATAAAAAGTATGATACTTAAAGAAGTTAGATGAAAAAATGGAGAAAAACTCTATTTTTGCGAATTTTCTATAATTCTAAAATGATCACATATTCAAGGACTCTTCAAAAAGCTCATGGAAAATACTATTATGAACAAACTAGGCATGAATTTTTAATTTTACACTAAAATAAGCTTGTACTTTAATTTTATCTTTCCGTAAACCTTTCAAAGTACTCTCATATCTTCATATGTATCCTTTGGAATAAAATATTCTATAAAAGCAGACAAGGTCTGTGGATCGAATGGATGAAATCAAGCCTGCACATTTTGAGAGCAAGGAGACTAGAGCAAACATTATGCAGTGTTAAAGAGTATGGGGTCAGGGCTGGCAGGTGGTGTGGTGGTTGAGGTGTTGTACTTCCATGTGGGCGACTGCAGTTTGAGTTCCAGAGCCGATGACTTTCTTTCTCACTGTCCTTTCTCTCTCTCTCTTTGATCAAGTTGAAAATAATAATAATAACAAATGGAATTAAAGAAATAAAAATCCTTTTTTTGGGGGGGGGGAGAGGTTTTCGGTATAGGGCGCGTGCCCTCGCCAGATAGAGAGACAGAAAGCAAGAAATCACCCCCCCGGGGGGATGGCCATGCCACAATCCCTTCTCCTCCATTCTCCTCTCAGGATCTTGGGCACACACACACACACATGCGCCCGGCGTGAGTTTTAAGCCACCGGGCCTGGGACGTGAACCATGGTTGACTATGTGGGAGTCCAGCAACATAGCCATTATGCTAACTGCTGGTCCCAGAAATAAAAATTCTTTAAAAAATAAAAAGAGTATGGACTCTCGGGTTAAGAATTCTTGGATGTGATTCCTAGTCTTAGTATTTACCTGCTCTGTGACGTTTGTCATTTTGCGTATCACTACTTTATAGATGAAAATACCAAGCCTCAGAAAGTCAAGTAACTGACACCTATCTCATGTGGTAATCATAGGAGCTAAACAAGATAATTCACGTATATAAGGCCACTTGACATGGGAAATATCCAATGAGTGTTAGCTGTTCATATGATGGTGATGATAATTATTCTCAAAGCGGAGACATAAATAGGTTGGTCCTATCAGGCAAATTCTACGTCCTGACAACTGACGATCTTCCTACATGTCAGGATGTTCCAGGTACTGAAGCTACAGAAAGAAGCAGAGGTCAGTGGGATAAACAGGCAGAGGCAATGGATGAAGGGCACAGGAAAATAAACTGGGCGGACAGGGGTCATATTGGAAAGTTTCTGCAACTCAGAGACACAGTGTAGAAGGTCCAGTCAATCAACCATGACTCTCCTGAAAGCCTTTTAATATTACCAATCAATACAATAAACTCTGAACTTCTCATGAGTCAGATTTGTGAGATTATCCCTCTAGAAATCAGGTAGGACTCAATATTTTTTTCCTCAGATAGGTTTTTATTTCAAAATCATTTTTAAAGAAGACTGTTTCTTCCCACTTTCATTCAGGGGCTTTGAGATCTTCCTGTGATAGGAAGCTGATTTGCCATCTTTGAGAAGTGTTATGATGCTGGTTCTGAGAAAACTTTCCCCTATTCCCACGGCGGGTACACACATTGACCTTCGAATGCTCTAGACTGACTTTCAAAATTAAACTCTATTAACCCAAGTATGACAGTCAGAAACAAGTCCAAATATTATGAAAATGTTGCAGTCATGCTCTGCAATCACTTTCCTAAACCCGAACTCTAGACAGAGCATGTTATTTCCCTCTTGAACTTAACCATGATTTAAAACATGATATGTTATCATTTTAATGTCTGTGGTCTTACTCAAGAATTCAGTGATGAAAAACCAAGACACATGAAAAATGGCCCTTGGTAAAAACCTATATTAAGAACACGTTTGGAAAGAGATTAAACTAATTGCATTTTGGGGAATGTGGGTTATGAGAGACTTGTGTTCCTACTTAGAGTTACAGCCTCCGAATGCACTTCTTTATTTGATATGAAATGATGTTGCGAAGGAGTTTGCCTGAATAATAAATGCAGTGGTAACTGAAAAGGAAAACAACGCAGAGCTGAAGAAATTTGGACAAGTGATGGTGATGGCGGTGGACGTGGTCACAGTTTGATTTTTTATTTTCACAGATGGCAACGTCTCAGTTTTATATGGCCTGTAGACGTGCTTACTAAGCCAGTTAGAGTGTGTGTGTGTGTGTGTGTGTGTGTGTGTGTGTAACAATGTGATACTGTGGGATAAAGCAGGAATCTCCTAGGAAAAGGGAAAGAAATGTCGTAGAAAAAAATGTTTGCAACTATAAATAAAATACTGGTTTTGAATATCCAAGTTCTAGAAATCCGGTGTCATGAGGAGACAAAATAATTGCCTTAAGAGAAGAGATACCATCATCACGAGGGTGCTTTTCCCAGGGCGAGGCTCATCCATTGCACTCCAGATGTGCTGACCCCTGTGATTTCCCCAAATGTGCGAAACTCGACTGCATAATTTGTGGTAGTGGAGGGCTGCATTCACGCTTTCCCCTGAGACAAAACAAAAAAAGAAAAAAAACTGCCTTAAAGTAATCTTTCAGGTCGTCCTTGTAGCACAGCAATTGTTCTGTATACAGGGAACCAAAACCCACATGGCTGACTGCAGTTCCAACTCAGGATCTGGTGGCTTGAAAAACATGCTGGGTGCCTGTGTGTGCACACCCCAAACTGCGATAGGATGGAGAAACGGAGGAAATAGGATTGTGGCATGGCACCGCTGAGGGGTGCTTTCTCTCTCTGACTGGTAAATGTACCCTCTCACAATAAACAAAAACAAAAACAAAACAAACAAAAAAATCAATTTTCTCATTATTGTTACTTTCAAAACTAGTAACTTTGGGACCAGCAGTTAGCATAATGGCTATGTCACTGGACTCCCATGTAGTCGACTGCAGTTCACGTCCCGGACCAGGTGGCTTAAACTCACACTGGGGGTGTGTGCATGCGTGCCCAAGATCTCGAGAGGAGAATGGAGGAGAAGGAATTGCGGGGTGACCATCCCTCCTGGGGATGTGACACTTTTTGTCTCTCTGTCTCTGTCTGTCTGGCGAGGGCACACACCCTATAGCAAAACTCTCTTCAAAAAAAAAAAAAAAGCTAATAACTTTTACTTTGTTTTAATGTAAAAGTCACACTCACTTAAAAAGTCTAGAAAACTTAAAAAAGAGAGAAAATAAAAAGCATCCACCATATAAGACACAGATAAACACTGTTATTTTTGCATGTATTTTAAGTCAGACATGTTTGCTTCTGCATCATGGCTGCTGTCATGAATGCATAATTATGTATCCTGTTTTGTAAGCTGGTGAAATAGCACTGAAACATTAATATTTGCTGAAATATTATTTTGAAAAAATTGTTAAAAGGCATTTTAAGGAGAGTGGCTCCCACAGGTCAGAAAGGCCAGACGCCATGCTAGCAGATGACAAGCGTGTGTCCAATCCCAATGAGCACACTGCCATTGAGCCCTGTCTGTCTACATAGGGATGCATGCGTGTATGCCTGGCATGTTTTCCAAACCACCAGTTCTGGGACTTGAACTGCACAGTTGGCCACGTGGAATCCAGCTGCCTCAACCCTCTGCCACATGGCTGACCCTGATTGCATCATTTTCTGTTGTTCATCCTCATGGTCTTTCTAGTAGGACAAGATGGGAAGGCCAAAGACCATGATATTAACGATCCTGATGCTGGCTGGATCTACGTTAGTGTGTGTTTCTGTTTCGAACAAAATGAAAAGTTTAAAAAGTAAAATAAATAAAAAGAGAAAAAACTTTATAGAATATGAATATAAAGAATATTTTTGTGCAGTTGTTCAATGCGTGTTTCAAGCTAAGAGTTATTACAGAGTCAACTGACTTAAAAATGTAAAAGCTTTTAAGTAAAAAATTATAGTAAGCCACGATTAATTTATTATTGAAGAAAGGACAAATATATATATATATATGTTTGTTTTTGGAGAGGTTTTTGTTATAGGGCACATGCACTTTCCAGAAAGACAGAGAGAGACAGAGAGACAGAAAGCGAGAAATCACCCCCCATGGGGGATGGCCATGCCGCAATCGCACTCGGCATGAGTTTAAACCACCGGGTCCGGGACTCAAACTGTGGTCAACTACATGGGAGTCTAGCAATGTTGCCATTGCACCAACTGCTGGTCCCAAGGAAAATATTTTTTAATAAATTTAGTGCAGCCTAGATGGACAGTGGTTATAAAGTCTGTGGTGGTGTACAACAACAGCGATGCCCTGGGCTTTCCCATTCACTCACCACCCACTTTCTGCCCCGCCGAGTGCAGCATCCAGTCCTGTAAGCTCTGTTCATGCTCAGCGCCCTCTGCAGGTGAGCCATTTTTTATCCTCTGTTCTGTGTTTTTACTGTGCTTTTTCCTATCTTTAAATATCTGGGGACACAAATATTTACCGTCGTATTTCAGTTGCCTGCAGGCCTCAGTACAGTGACAGGCTGTGTAGATTACAGTCTCTGAGCGATAGTCTACACCATGGAGGATTGTTTAAGTCCTTGCTGATCTCACCCCAGGATGAAATCACCTGACAGTGCCCTTCTCAGAATGTCTCCCCATTTTTAAGACATGCACAGCTGTATCATTTTTATTACTTTTCTCCCATGTCCATCCTTTCGACACCTCTTTATTAAGTTGCTATATTCCAGACATGTATTTCTACCAGTGAAACATATGCTTTTATTATCCTTGTTATAGACAAGGCAAGTGAAGCTCAGGGATAAAGGACTGAGTGAAGGTTCTGAGCTCCGATGCTGCCCTTCCATGGCTGTCCTGAAAGCAGACTGCTGAGCAAGCATCATCAGGAGGTGGACACTCAGTGGTCAGCCCATTCATCTGTTGGTCATTTGGTGATTCGTTCACTGGCTGATCGGTTATGGTAAACAGAATAATCCCCCCCATCCCATGCCTCCAAATCCTAAACTATGTTATGTGTCAAAGGCTGCAGATGGAATTGAAGTGTCTAATGAGAAATCCTTAATATAGAGGCAGCACCCAGCATTATCCAGGTGGGCAGGATATAATCAGAAGGGTCTCTAAAGTGGAAGCAGCAGGAGGAGGAGAGGAATCAGTGTGGGATGGAGTGCTGTGATGTGAGAGACACTCCACCAGCCAGTGCTGGCCTTGCAGGCACAAGGGGGCCATGGGCCAAGGAGTGCAGGCAGCTTCTGGAAGCTGGAGAAGGGACAGAAACTGCCTGTCCCTGAGAGCCTCCACCACACAGTCCTGCCAGAACCTTGATTTTTACCTGGTGAGCTGTCGTCAGATTTCTGAGCTCCAGAACTAGAAGGCAATACGTTTGTGAGATTTTTTTTTTATTTGTGCCAGAGGACACATGCACACACATTAGAGAGAGAAAGAGGAAGAGGACTGAGAGAGAAAGAAAGCACCCACTCATGGAGCCTGGTTACTCGGCCATCCTTTTTCCTTCAATTCTCTATCCTATCAGGATCCTGAGCATGTGAGTTCCCGACTGCTGTATTTTTCAAGCTCCTGGGGCTGGGATTCAGAGCCTGGCTGGCCATGTGGACACTGGCATTCTCTTCACAGTGCTTAACCACTGTGCTGTAGGACCAGCCCCACTTGAGGTATTTTTTTTTTTTTCTTGGAGAAGTTTTTACTATAGGGCATGTGCGCTTACCAGAAAGACAGAGTCAGAGAGATAGAAAACGAGAAATCACCCCCCGGGAGGATGGCCACACTGCAATCCTGTCTCCTCCATTCTCCTCTTGGGATCTTGGGCACGCACGAACATGAGCCCAGCATGAGTTTAAGCCGCTGGGTCTGGGACTCGAACTGCGGTTGACTATATGGGAGTTCAGCGACATAGCAATTATGCTAACTGCTGGTCCCACTTGTGTAGTTTTAAGCCACTAAGTTTGGTGATTTGTTACAGCAGCCCTCAGAAACTAATCCTCAGGGTATGTTCTGCAAGAAAACCAAAAGGCTGGAGTGTCCCAGGACTGATGCCCAGGAACTCTGTTTTAGAGGATGGAGCAACAGGGAGTCTAAAAAGTGGCAGTGCTTACAGGAAACGGATGGCAACATTAAGATTCATTGTGTTTGTTTTATTGACAGAACAAGACCCCACCCACTGTCAGAAGCCTGGTTGGGACCAGTCTCTTAAAAATGACTAAGGAAATTCTCCAAAATTCAGGGGGATTGGAGGGGTCTAGAATAGTGAGATCCAATGGAAACTTAATTGATCTATTAGTCTTCAGTTCTCAGAGGACATATTTGATGCTTTTTTCCCCCTACCCTTCTCCTAAAGTTCAGACCAAAAAAAAAAGCAACTGCATTATTGTTCAAGAAACATTTAATGATTATTGACAATAGTGGTTCATTCAACTTTTACTTTTTTTTTTTTTTGAGAGGTTTTTGCTATAGGACGCATGTACTTGCCAGAAAGGCAGAGAGAGACAGAGAGACAGAAAGCAAGAAATCACCCCCCAGGTGGGATGGCCATGCCACAATCTCTTCTCCTCCATTCTTCTCTCAGGATCTTGGGCATGCACGCACATGCGCCCGGTGTGAGTTTAAGCCACCAGGTCCAAGACTCAAACCGTGGTCGACTACATGGGAGTCCAGTGACATAGCCATTATGCCAACTGCTGGTCCCCATTCCACTTTTAAATGAGCATTTATTTACTGTTTCTCTTTTTTTAAGTTTATTTCTCCCATGAAAGAGACATAGACAGATAAGACAGGCTCTCCCCACAGGGTCCTCGTGCTGCAGGTCCTCTTGCACACAGCTAGGACACGGACACACGTGTACTTGGCATGTACAGAGAGACCTTGAGATACAAACCAGGGACCTTCCCATTTGGCTTTGGCGTTGCAGAACATGGTGCTGCTGCTGCAGCTGCCTACTGTATTTATTTAAGTTATGTGTTAGAATGTGTCACAGATAAACCCAAAATACATAGCACGTTCGTGGCACTTACTAAACTGATCAATGGCCCTGGTGTTTTATTAGTTATGTATAAAACTTTAGAGGAATCTTTTCAAATGGGAGTTGTACTGGCGGGTTGGCTTGAGGAAAATAAAAAGACAATTGAAATATGCATTGTTTGTTTCAAGATGATGGAAACAGCACATAATTCTCCACAAGAAAACATCACCCAAAGGCAAGAAGCCAGAAGGGCAACAGTGGTTAATATACAAATATAATAAATCTACGCCTAAATCCTTTCTCTTACATTTAAACAAAAAGGCAATAACAATTCTATTTCGTAAGAATATCCCTGGGAATTACACATGAAAATATTTTTTCTAGGCAGTATTTGGCTTTTCATGCTCTGTAATCTATTTTTGAAACAATTTAATATCTGGTAACATCTGTACAGTCTGCAGGATCTGGATTTCATACTCAGGAGGGAACATGTGACAGAATGCAAGGACACATTGCCACTGTTGTTAAGGATTCTTTTATTTATTTACTGTATTTATAGCTTTCTAGTCTCCCCAAAGGA